GGTCGAGGTACGGCGTGACCCTCCACCCTTTCGTAGCCACTTCGTGTGTGTGTGTGTGTGTGTGTGTGTGTGTGTGTGTGTGTGCAGTGCGTGCTTGCGCGTGTGCGCTCACTTGCTCCTCCTTTGGAATGAGCACAGTTCGTGTCTGTCACCGGTCGAATCTGACGCCAGCTATCAGCTGGGGAATATCCTATTCGTTTACTGGTAAGCCCACCTCAACAAGCCACGCACGCAGCACGCAGGCACGCACGCACGCACGACAATCTAAACAAAAGCGCTGTGTCTGGTCCACTTGTAGGATCCTCAAGCGAGTGCAGGAGATGATGTGTATCAGGTGGAGCACACACGCGTGGGGCGACTTCATGGAGTCCAACCGGTGGGGCTTCCGCTTTGTGGAGACCGACATCGCCTCGTTCGAAGCCCGCACCAAGCACATGGGTATCATTTCCCTGTACGAAGGTCACACCACCCACCTCGCCCTCGCTTGAACCCCGTACCCGCGGTTAAACTGGGACTCGCCCACTCACTCACTTTCGATCGTGACAGGCACGGCGTCGCTACTGCCGGCCCTGCTCCCCAGCACCGAACCGCGCGAAGCCATCCGCCTCCTGCGGGACGCTCGAGTACAGCCCAACCCGACCCACCTCGCTCGGCTTCTTTGTCGATCGGCCTTCACCGCTGGCTGACCTCCGTGATGTGTGCTGCGTGGGCGTAGACGCACCTGTTCAACGCATGGCAGTCCAACTCGGACGACTTCAGTACCTTGCGACAGCTCGGCGTGTGTAACTTTGAGCTCGCGCAGCGCATCGAGTGCGCTCCTCATCAACCCCCCTTCCACCTGCCGGCTCACGCGATCTATCATAGCTAACTCATCACCTCTACTGTTCGTCAATGGCCACGTCCTGGCAGGAAGCGGTGGCAAGAGAAGCGGTCGGCGGCGGCGGCGGGGTCGATGCGACTCTCGTCTTCGGGGCAGCGCAGACTGCAGGACAGCAGCAACTCAGAGACGGACTCGGTCACCTCTCTCGGTGATGGCGACGGTAGCGAGGCCGAGACCTCCACCATACTCAAGCGCCACGATCTCTCCGCCACCCCGACCCACGTGCCACGTCAGCGCTATCAAGTCAAGACCGAGGAGCAAAAGGGTGCGCTTTCGCCGTGTGGCTAGCTGGCAAGCGCGCCGCCGCCGCCGCCGCCGCCGCCGCCGCCGCCGGGCCTAACGAACTCGCTTTGCAGAGATTCAGATGCTGGCCGAACAAGCCGTCGACAACTTCAAGAAGGCCGCCACCATCAGGCCCGAGGACAGTATGATCCGCGTGCAACTCGGTGCGTTTGTATTTGATCGCTATTTTCGTCATCATCATCGTCGTCATTGTCGTCATCATTGTCATTGTCATTGTCATCGTCGTCGTCGTCATTGTCGTCATCGTCATTGTCGTCATAGCTCACGCCAATGTCTTTGGTTTGTCATCTGTCGAAGGGCTGGCCCACGTCATGCGGGCCAGGTGCCGCGCCCAGAGGCAGGAAGACTTTTACCTGGCGGCCCAGATCTTCGAGGAGCGCCTCGCCCAAGGCAACAGTACGACACAACACACAACACACACACACCACACACACCACACACACCACACACACCACACACACCACACACACCACACACACCGCACACACCACACGCACACACACACCACACAACACACACCAACGGCAAACACGACACACAAACGCACGCAGCTGGCCTGGTGCTGGAGCGCGTGCTCTATCCGGCGCTGCAGAGCCGGGGCGAGGAGCTGAGCGGCTTCCTCCGCATGCTCTACCACTCGACCCCGCTGGTACTCTTCTTCGCACGGCACATGGGACCCGCGACGGTGGTCGACGACGGGGAGTCGAGGCCCAGTCGTACCATGACCGAAGGCGTCGCCGACGCCATCGCCGTGTGGGAGTCGCAGCAGCTGACCGAACTGAAGCTGAGCCAAAGCACGCGCTCGACCGACTCGACGACGCGCAGCAAACCTGCGGCGGCGGCGCCCGAACTGCAGCAGAGCGGGGACAAGGCCTTCTGGGGCCTGCTCAAGGAGGAGCAGAAGCGCGACGCGGCCCAGCAGCAGACCACGACCGTAGGCCCGAAGACGAATAACGGCGGCGGCGGCGGCGATGATGATGTCGGGTGGTGCCTGGACTTTGCCGAGTCGGGCGAGGTGCTGACGGACCCGGCGGTGCTCACCCTCCAGAGCCTGTTCGACAACACGCCGCGGCACCGGCTTCACGGCCTCGCCATCGCGTCGATGAGCTTCGCCGGCTGCGACCTACTCACCGACACCTCGCTCGCTTCCCTCTTCCGCTTCCTCCGGCGCACGCAGCACGACGCCGACCAGGCGCTCACCACTGCTGCCAGCGCCAGCGCCGCGGTCGCAAACCACATAGATGCCCCGCAGCTCGGCAGCAGCGCGAGCGTCGGCAAGCAGAAGCGATCGAGCGAAAAGCCCAACAAGAAGCAGGCGGCGCTCAACAAGACGGCAGTGGCCGACCACAACGCTGAACCGCAGCGGACGGCGCGGGTGTTCCCCGAGGAGGTGGACTTGGCGATGTGCAACATCACCGACGCGACGTTGCTGCAGATCGCGGGCGGCGGCGGGGGAGAGGCTGATGAGACGTCGTCATCGTCATCGCCGGTGAACAACCACCGACTGCGGCGGATCAGGCTCGACGGCTGCCGGACCGTCACGGGCGGCGCCATCGCTGCCCTGCTCGCCCGCTGTCCCAACCTGGAGAAGCTCGCCGCCAGAGACTGCCCCGCCATCGCCTGGTCAAAGAAGACGGTCACTCAGGTACGCGATCACATGTGCGTGTTGTGTGCGTGTTGCATGCAAGTGTTGAGTGCTGCGTGCGTGCGTGCGTGTTGTGTGCGTGTGCGTGTGCGTGTGAGTGTTGCGTGTGCGTGATTGTGAAGGTGGCTCACATGCGGCACTCCGGCGCAGGCCCTCAAACAAGCAACGCAGCTCAGGGTGTTGGATGTGCGAGGCAGCGATGTCAGCGAGAAGTGGGTCCAGGCCACCAAGAAGAACTCCACCCAACTCTCCATTCTCCACTCCCTCTAAAGTATCTTAATATTCTTATCATTGTACGATGGCCAAGAAGAACGGAGTATGCTGCAATGCAGCGTCCAATCAACAAGTTGTAAAGTTCTAGGCGGGGCTTTTCTTGATGATGTAGAGCAGGAGGAGGGAGATGAGCCGGAAGCCCACGGCCATGCCCGCCAACACGCCCAGGCAGGGTCCCATCTCGGTGAACACCAGGTGCTGCTGCTTGAGGATCACGTTGCCGTCGTAGCCCAGGCACTCCTCCGGCACGCTCGACGGACAATCGTACATGTTGTCCTTGAGCTCGTTCACCTGAGCACCCCCACCACCATGAACGTCCATCATCAGCCTCAACCACCCATTGCCATGACTGTAGTAATGGAGAGTCGCGTACGGCCATCGCCGCGTAGGTGTATTGTAGATAGGAAGTGTAGCCAATGATCTCCAGGTAGATGATGAACGTGTCGGGGTTGATGAGGTAGCCCGTACCTGGTCATTCGAACACATCAGCGATCAACGACAGAGAGAAGTGAGGGTGGTGTCATTGACAGGTTGGGTGTTTCGCAAGGGTTGCGGCCGCGTACAAAGATTCCAGAAGGACACGAAGGAGTTGGCCGCGAGCGAAGCGGTCGCAAACGTCCGCGTGAGTGCGATGAACAGGAATCCCAGCGATTCAGCCACGTACTGCGCAAGGCTGGAAAAAAAAAGACACGTCAACCAACCGTAGTTGCACACACGACACTCACGACACTCACGACACTCACGACACGACACACATAACACCGACACGACACGACGCACGACAAGGTGGACGTACAAGACGCAGAGGGTGAACCACAGGAAGGCGTCCCACTCGGGCCGCAACCCGGTCATCCAGTAGTAGATGCTCGAGAAGATGATGGGCATGATCACCGCAAAGGGGAACGACGTGGCCAGCATCGACAGAAAGTAGGGCAACACCGACACCATGTTGTCGTGCTGCTCTCGGCTGAACACCTTCAGCTCCTCCTCGTCTGTGTAGTCGACGACACGCAACACGACACGCAACACGACACGCACACGCGTGTGATTGAGTAGGCCACGCGGGTCGGCCGGCACAGGGAAGGGTAGCGTACAGTGTAGCATGGTGGTGAGCATGACGACGTAGGGCTGCAGGCCCACAACGCCGAAGATGGCGCCGAGCCGGCCCTGGATGTCTTCCTTGCTGCCGTCGCCCACTTGCAGGAAGATGAGCCCCTGGTAGTGTGGGGTGGGGTGGCGTGCGACGTGTGTCGTGTGTGTCGTGTGTCGTGCGGCGTGTGCGGCGTGTGGTGAGTGAAGTCAAAATGGATGGTGAAGGCGGCCGGTCAGCCGGGACTTACCATGGCGATGGCCATGAGTACGGTCTCGAGCAGTTGCGAAACGAGATAGGCGTAGTTGCGGAACAGGTGCTTGAAACCGCGATGGGTGAGCACGCCGGTCTGAATCAGGTAGTTGGCCTTCTTGGCTCTCACCTAGACGCACACATGACACACACGACACGACACGACACACACGACACACACGACACACGGTCAGAAGGCGTCATGTGTGCGGTTGGAGTGCAGCAGATGATGTGATGTGCCTGGCCCATGAGCTCGCCTCGGGTGGTGACGGTGTTGGCGCGCTGGCGTCGGGGTGAAAGCGGCGTCTCCATGAAATCGGGGTACGAGGCGTCC